TGGTGATGGTGGCTTACTGATTTGCCGTGTGTTGGTGAGAGCGTCGGCAGCATCTGCGACACCATTCTGCTGGCTGCTGGGGCGGATCATGGTCGAGGAGCGGCGCCCGGAGGCGTCGGATCCCCCGAGGCTGCCGGCGGCGGCGGCGCTCGAGAGCCTGCGCGGCGGGCCGGCGATGGACTTGCGGACCTGGCCGAGGTCGAAGCTGCGCTTCATCTCGAAGCGCGACCGGGTCTTGACGCGGGGGATCACGCCGGCGGCGATGATGACGCGGCCCGGCTGCGACTCGTCCACGGGCATCTCGCCGTTGCTGAGCCGCCGGAGCGGGACGGCGGTGACGAGGATGCTGCCGGGGTGCCTCTGCTCGGCCACGGTCAACTTGCGCCTCCCGACCGGGGACTTGACGTCGGCCTGGCTGACCCCGGACAGCAGGAGGGACGTGTTGGCCGAGTACACGCTCGGGGCGCGGCTGCCACCCCTGGCCATGCGGTCGAAGACGCCCGACATGGGGGACGAGGCCGGGGAGGAGGTGGAGTCGGCGGTGCTGAGGCGCCTGCCCATGCCCTGGTTCAGGCTGTGGATCAACGACCGGCTGAGCTCGTTGACCGAGTCTCCGATCGTGTCGCGCGGGTGCAGGACGGTCGGGCTGTTGCCAAACGACGCCGGGGTGGAGGGGGGTGCGGCCCGCGGCGACATCGGGGACGCCAGCATCGGTCCGGCCGAGAGCGAGGGCAAACGGGTATAGCTGGGGTCTGGAGGGAAGCTTCCATCTCGATAGTTGCCAGTCCAGAGAGAGGGCAGTTGGGTGCGCTTTGGCGCCTCGACTATCGAGCTGTTCATTGTTGCTGACGGGCCTAGAGGTATGCTAGTAGATATTTCGGGTGCCGGGGAAGGGAGGCAGGGAGGCGGCGAGAGAAGATAGTTAACACCAAGGGCAGATAAGAACAACGTAGTGAGGCGGTGCAGGCTGCCAAGGGGCAAAGATATGCGTGTCTTTCAGATGGAATGCTTGGGGTGCGTGGCAAGATCCTCCCTATGATAACTTGGGAATAATGTTGATGGTGGTGTATTGACCTGTTGTGCTCGCCAGTGCAAATGGTGGGCAATGCAGATAGAACGAAAGACGGGCCTGGCAGATGGAAATCTCGCAAGGAAGGGATAAAGGAAAGCAGGCATGCCTATTTGTATCTAGGTCCTTTTGGAACCCTCAAAGAGATAGTGACCTCAAAGGGATGGTGCCAGCTGAAGTTAAGGGGTATAGACAGGCCCTAATCCTAGCCTCCCACACCAGGCAAACGGACGCAGCAGCGGCGGAAGCAAAGACCAGGTCTCCGAGTGGGTGAAGGCTTTTGGTCACAAAACGAAGGCTGCATTCCCCGGAACAAAGAAAGACAGACATTTGCATCCGTGCAAGCCAAGAGGTGGCGTTGATTACACGCCGTGCTGTCAGATGTCTCAGCAGACAATCCCAGCCGTGGCTGATCTCAAAGGCCCTCAGATCAAACGGGACCTCTGTTCAAACGGAGCAATATCCATCCAGTCCCGGCTTTTGCACGCGCGTGCTCAGAATGCCATTTCTTTGTACTCGCACCATCACCCATCATCGTTGTGAAGGCAGCCTGGAATGCACGTGACCCACGTCCAGACACCGCAGCTCCCGACCCACGTCACTGGTTGGGGCTGGGGAACGTGCCTATTGGTCTGCGGCTGCACGGGAAGGCTGCAGCTGTCCAGGGAAGCAAGGGGATTGGGGCCTGTGCTGGGCTGAAGAGTTGTCATTTTCTGAACTTGACAGCTTTCCTGCCAGCCAGGCCGGAACCCACGCCTGCATTGCCGCATATATAGAGCGGGTTAAAAGCCGGATTTGAGAGGGCGCAGCCACGAGAGAAGAGGCGCGAAAAGAAAAGAC